CACTATTTTATCAGGAGTTTAATACCTCTTTATCATAAATAGACAGATCCAGCAGGTGGAAAACTTGTCAGAACATGCTTGAAATCAACAACATCAATCAACTTGATTTAACTGATAACTATAAAATACTTTATCCAAAAACAACAGATTATTTACTATTCTCACACACAGATGTAGTGCTAAAATAGACTACATAAAATATACCTCTACCAGCTTAAAAAAATAGAAACAATACAAAATATGCTCTCAGACCACAGTGGCACTAAACCAGAAATGAATAACAGAAAGATAATTGGAAAACCATAAAATTCCTGGAGATTACAACAACTGGGTGGCTCAGTGATTGAGCATCTGCCTTCAGCTCAGGTCTCGATTCTGGGGTCCTGAGATTGAGTCCCACATCGGATTCCCCGCATGGAGCCTGCTTCTCCCTCTGCTTATGTCTCTGCCTCTTTCTCTTTGTCTCCCATAAATAGATAAATAAAATCTAAAAAAAAAATCTTTTAGATTAAACGACACACTTGTAAATTACTTATGTGTCAAAGAAGGCTCAAGACATTTAAAGAATTCAAACTAAATGAAAATGAAAATATAAGCTATTGAAATTTGTGGGATGCAGCAAATGAAATGCTTAGAGGAAAACTTATGGCCTTGAACAAATATGTGGGAAATAAAGAAAGACCTAAAATCACTAATGTAAGCTTCCACCTTAAGAAATTAGAAAAAAAAAAAAAGTTAAAGCAAGCAGAAGCAAAGAAACAACAAAAATTAGACTAGAAATCCATTAAATAGAAAACAAGAAATAGAGAAAATCAGTTAACCTGAAAGCTTATTCTTTGGAAAAAAATCAATAAAATTGATAAAGCTCTACCCAAGTTAACTAAGAAAAAAAAGAGAAGATACAATTACCAACATCAGAAATGAAAAAGGCTACATTACTACAGATACTATGGGTAAGAAAAGGGTAAGAAAGAAATACTAAGAACAACTGTGTGAACACAAATTTGATACTCTAGATGAAATGGACCAATTTCTTCGAAGACACAGTCTTCCCAAACTTACACAAAGAGAAGTAGACAGTATGAACCAGGCCTATATCTACTAAAGGAATTAAACACATTTAAATACTTGTGAAAACAGAAAGCTCTTGGCCCTGATGGGTTCACTGGTGAACTCTATCAAAGTTTTAAAGATTAAATTATATGATTTCTTTTACGGTGTCTTCCAGAAGATAGAAGCATAGAGAATACTTCCTAAATCATTTTATAAATTCAGCATAACCCCAAGAACAGAGAAAGCATTACGAGAAAGGAAAGCTATACACCCATATCTGTCATGAACACAGATATAAAAGTTCTTCCAAAAAAATGGCAAATTGAATTCAACACAGTATAAAAAGAATTATGGATTATGACTAAGTGGTGTTTATTTCACATAAGCAAGTCTTATCTCAACATTTGAAAATCAATTAACATAATTTATCACATCAATAGAATAAATAATAGAAACTGTACACTGTATCAACAGATGAAGAAAAAACCATTTGACAAAATCCTGTGCCTGTTCAAGATAAAGACTGTCAGCAAAATCTATAAGGGACATTAAACTTAATTGGGACAAAGATAAGGAACAAAGCAAAGATGTCCACTCAAAATAGAACTCACTGTTTCAAAAAAGATTAATTTTGAATTGTATCCAGCTTTGTCAAGAATTAGGCAATTAGGATAAAAATTGTTCCAGTTGTCCAGCATCTCACAAGGATGATTTGGAAATTATACATGTTAAATGTATATGTTGTACATATGAATTTAATTAATTGAGACAAAATAAATGCAGTTATTCTTAGATCGTATAGATAGGGAAAGTAGCTTCTAATGGTAAGGGATTAGATGTTGGGCTGCACTACTAAGGAATGTTAACTGAGAGTTGTTCCTTTTTAGTGTGATTGGTGAATTGTTATACAACTTAGGACAATTTTTGTTAAAACTCTCATTTTCATTGTTTTAGAGTTTTTTTGTTTTTGTTTTTTTGTTTGTTTGTTTTGCTTTCTGATTTTTTTCTAAGTAAACCATAATAACCAAGTTAAAAATCAACAATGATGATGGAACCACATCATCCAACTAGAAAGCTTCTGAAGAGGAAAAGAAACAACAGAATGAAGAAGGAATCTACAGAAAGGGAGAAAATACTTGCAAACTATAGACCTAATAAGAGATTAATATCTATACACAGAAGAATCTTATCCAACTTAATTGCAAAAAAGCAAATGATCTAATTAAAAATGGGCAAAGAACCTGAATAGATATTTTTCTAAAAAAGACATACAAATGCCCTGTAAGTCCATGAAACGCTGCTAATCATCAGGGAAATGCAAATCAAAACTCCCATGAAATATCGCTTCATGCCTGTTAGAATGCCCATCATCAGAAAGACAATATATGTGGACAAAAGGGAATTCCTCTTGGTAGGAATGTAAATCGGTAAGGCCACAATGGTAAGCGGTATGGATGTTCCTCGAAAAATTAAAAGCAGAACTTCCATATGATCCAGCAGTCCTGCTTCCGGGTGTTTATCTAAAGGAGATGAAGTCACTGTCTCATAAAGAAGTCTTCACCTCCGTATGCAATATGGTAGGATTCGCAGTAGCCAAGAAATGAAAACCACTTAAGTCCCATTAACAGATGAATGGATAAAGAAAATGTGAGACTCTTTGTCTGTCTGTCTGTCTCTCTGTCACACACACACACACACACACACACACACACACACACTTACATACAGTGGGGTATTATTCAGTCATAAAAAAGAAGAAAAGCCTGCTATTTGCGACGACATGGATAAACCCTTAGGGTATTAAGCTAAGTGAATGAGTCAGAGAAAGACAAATACCATATGGTATCACTTATATGCAGAATTTAAAACAGCTGAACTGGGCAGCCCCAGTGGCCTAGTGGTCTAGCGCCACCTTCGGCTCAGGGCGTGATCCTGGAGTCCCGGGATCGAGTCCCACGTCCGGCTCCCTGCATGGAGCCTGCTTCTCCCTCTGCCTGTGTCCTGCCTCTCTCTCCCTCTGTGTCTCTCATGAATAAATAAATTTCAAAAAATAATAAAAAAAATAAAACAGCTGAACTCAGAAAAACAGCCAGGGGCCGAGGGGTGGGGAAATGGGGAGCTGCTGTCAAAGGGCACGAAGTCACAAGAGGAGTAAGTTCCGGGATCTGTAGTTAACGGCACCGTGTCCTACCCTTGAGAGCTGCTGAGAGAGTAGATCTCGTGTGTTCTCACCATGACAACAGGAACAAAACTGATCACTATGTCGGGAAAAGAGAGGCTGCGGCCGAACTGCGTTGCTGGCTCCACAACGTATATGCCTGGCGGGCCATCGCATGGCACATCTTAAACGACGTGACATACCCGTTACATGGCAGGAAGACTAGGAAAAGGAAACTGCAAGTGGCTAAGGCGAACGTCGACGACTGTCTTTTTAAAGTACACTTGGCAAGGGTCATCAGGAGGACAGACCCGAGAGCATTCTGAGTCGTGTCCTTGCTCGGCGGGCCAGGCCGCAGTCGCCGCTGGCAGTAGGCCCGGGCCCCCCTGAATTCTGAGTCGAAAACACTGACAAGCAAGAAATTACAAGGGTCAAAATGAATCCAGATTCTGACCTTAAAGGTGCTGTGACAGGAAAATGGGAAGCGGAGCACAAAAAAAGTTTCTCAGTGAACAGACTGATGTACTGTCTTAAAGCAAAGATCACTCTCCCGAGACAGTTGATCCATAACCCTTTGTTGACTTGCTCCGTATTTCTCTAGTGGTGACTGGTATTTTCAAAGGCATGAAAGCATCCCAAACGCCTAACGTCACCCGCACAGGGCATATTTAAGGTCCTTTACTGTTTTCCCGTGAGCTTACACAAAAATGAGCACGCACGCGTTCATGCTCACACACACACACGCACACACCCAGAGGCAGAGACCCAGGCAGAGGGAGGAGCAGGCTCCCTGCGGGGACACCCCCCCATGGGGACTCATCCCAGGACCCGGGGTCACGCCCCGGGCCAAGGCAGGTGCCCACCCGCTGAGCCCCCCCCCAGGCGCCCCAAGGCCACCCTGTCTTTCAGGTTAGGAGCTTGCTGTCCCCGGGAAGGCTGTGCAAATTTTATGCCAACATTTCAGTGTTTACCTTCAGGCTCACCAGAGGTCTGACAGCAGGTTTTAGGTAAGGAAGACCTCATGGATGCTCGCCAGCTCCACTTCATTTCTTAAAGATTAAGACTTGTTGAAAGAATTCAACGGTTCGCCTCCCTCGTCTCTACAGTCCTTTTCTAGACTCTCGTGTCACTCACTGGGCACCCGTCCACGGAGGCCCCGCACGCCGGGCTCCACACTCGGGGGGCTCTGGGGTGTGCGGGGAGCAGAGAGGGGCCCGGTCGGCAGGGCCCGGGAGTCTGCAGTGCCCACATAGAGGGTCCAAAGGGGAGGAATTACTTGGAGAGAACCTTGGAAGGAATTGGGATTCAAACTAACAGGAGGAGAGGATAGCGTTCCTCGCAGGGACTGTGGGCTAGGTCACAGACACGGGGAGAAGCAGATCCAATTTGGGGAGTAGCAGAAAGTTCAATTTGGCTGGAAACGAAGCAGAAAAGAAATAGGCTAGTAAACAAACAAGGGCAAAGAACGATTTTTTTCCCCTGGGATTGATTGATTGATTGATTGATTTTTTTTGGTTTGGGATTCCATTTAATGTACTTATGAGGAGACATTTAAGGATTTAAGGCAGAAACACATCAAGATCAGACTTGCGATTGAGAGAACAAGTCACTTCACCGTTATTGTCCTTTTCTATTATTTTCCTCCTCATTCTCGTTATCTGCCCAGCTTTTTGTTTTAATCTGTTTGCCTTCTGTGAGGCAGCAGCTCTCTGCAGCCGCATTAAGATCCCAAACAAGGTAAAGTGAAAGAGATCACAGGCAGAGCTGAAAGGGGTAACCGGGGGCTTACCGAATCCTTGGAGCGCCCCCCCCAGCATCTGGGCATCCGCTATGGGGTTGAAATTGGGAGCTGGGAAGATGGTTCCTTGCACCTGGTGGAAGAGCCAACGAGAAAGAGATTGCAGTGTTTTATAAGCAAGATTCCAACATTTTTTTTTTTTGGCAGATAGATGAGAACAAAAATACATTCTGTATGTTTAAATTACCCCAGGACATGCATTCACGTCTATTAAACGAGTGTGTTAATCGTGCGTTAATTGTATGGAGCAAATTTGGTTGAGGTTTTTTTTTTTTTGATCCATCGGCCTCTATTATATTGGTTCTATTATTTATCTACGAATTTGAGATTCCAGGGCCAATAGGAGAAAATGTGAGAATCAAATAAGTATAAATCTTTTTAACAACAGGGAACATTTTCTCAGGAACTGGTGGCTATTTAAAGAAACTGAAAAGATAATTCTGTGGGGGAATTCACGACATTCACATGGATTAGAAGTGGCTCCTGCCACCACAGCTTTTTTAGCCATCAGGGGCCCTACAATCATTTAGAGAAAGCCAAAATATTTGAATTTGGATTGCCAGCTTCATAAAAATCTAGGTGGTGTAGATGAGGCAGAGATTTGTTTAGCTGAGGCCTACCCTGCGGAGGAAAACGCAAAAACCTGGCTGACGTTCCATTTAAATTTTCTTTCTTGCTAGTAATGAAATAGCAGAACTTGCTATTTTAATAAAATAAAATAATCTGCTAATAAAATGGCAGATTCTCTCCAAAATATGTCAGGCTTTGAACCCACACGGTCCATTATTTCAGACAGAGCCAGCCAGGACTAGCCCCCGTCATCAAACTCAGCACAAGACGACGATCAATCAAGATTCATTAAGCCTGGGAGCTGTGCCCCGTCGGTGGCCGGTGTGGCCACAAACCCTGGGGAAACGCCTTCCCACGACAGCTGCGTCCACGAGACCCCGAGAACTGAGGCCTTCACCAAGCCCTTCTACGCGCATAGTATCCCAGCTGAGGATGCAGTTTTCTAACTGTAGAAAATTAATCAATTAACGAGAAGATTGCACCATAATTTCTAGTCCAAGACATATACATATACTGACAGCAAAATATTTATGAAACGATTTTAGGGGGACGAAGAAACTCGTTCACTTGAGTTAAAAATGAAAAAAAAATACATTCAGTTCGGATTTCCTTTGATTAGGATCAGTGGTCATGAAGCTGTCTGTCTGAAGTAGACTGGAAACCCTATAATCATTGGGATACAGTCGTATTTTCATAAGTGCAAAACCTTTTTTTAAACGCCGACGTGCACAGATGCTTGTAACTCCAGTAAGGGTGTGGTCTGCGCCTTACACTGCGAGGGCACGCGGTTGGCTCCCATGCTCCAGTCCATTGGACGTGACCTAGAGACAAGTTCTCTAGAGCCAGGCCTCAGCTCCGTGGGCCGTGCACTAAGAGGCCATATGACTGTCACCTCCTTTATCCCCTACACTTCCCCCTGGGACTCTACTAAGAAGTCAGACTTTGGTTCTTCTCTCATTTAGTAGATTAAGCCTCGGCAGCAGATTCTAATGTAAATTCCTAGGCCGAGTTCTCCTCACCTGAAGCATCTTCCTTTAAATCTTGTTATCCTAGAAGAATGAAAGCTTTAAACTTTCGAAATAACAGCCATCCATCGAATGTGAAAAATTGTTCTCTGCTATTTGTCACTGCCTTTTTGTCTACATAGTTCTTTCTCAGGTTTTTCCCCCCATTGGGACAATCAAGATTTATTTTGAGCCGTGGAGACAGACATACTTTATTTCCCCTGTTTTAGGACTCGGATGATTTGTTTGGACAAGTCTTATGTGGACAATAACCATTTTTTACCTTAATTTTGCTGACTGCTATCAGCCAGAGGGCTGTTTTAAACTATAAAAGAGAAAATATTTTTGAAAACAATAAGACATTCTGCCAAATACGCGTAAGTCATCCAGGCAGTTTTAAAGCACAGTCTATGCAAATGTTTACCGCAGAGCATTTCATTGCTGACTAGACTAGAATTTTCCAGAATTTCTACTGGAGTAAGTGCTATAAAAGAAAAGCATTTACCTTTATTAAACAGAAGAAAAAACAGCTTTTAATGTTATAGATAAAAAGCTATAGATAAAGGAAGTTGTAAATGTTTATTGTGATTTATTAGACACAATCTGTAGGTGAAAGGAAAAAGTCCAGTTTTTTCCTTTAGAGTTTTTTGTTGTTGGTGATCCTCGTTGGTTGTACTAGTGCAACATATTTTTATGATATAATATAAAAATCATTTTTTTTGTTACAGTTCTCACCTTCTTTGCCATTTAAAGCCCTTATTTCCTTGTCAGCTGGGATTAAAATAATACACTAAAAATGTTTTGGAAAAAAAATTCGAGACAAAGTAAAGAAAAAATTGTAAATGCTTAGTAATTCACCGGACGCAATTTTTCTAGTAAGCGTTTGTCATTTATGGCCGTTTATATAGTAAACCATTATATTTATTTTTAATATAAGAGTAAACCATTTAAATATACTCCCTATTTAAATATAATAGGAAAGCATTATATTTATTTTTATGCTAATTATTTCATTTAAGCTCAAGTCAGCAACATGATTCCATATAAGGTACATAATGTTCCTTTTACTAATTTTGTCATTGGGATACTGATTTTATCCTTTAGTGGTAATATTTTTCCAGCTTTACTAAGAGGCGATTGATATATAACATTGTGTAAGTTTAAGTAGTTTTAACATGATTTAAGCTGTACGGCATGTACATGTATAGCGTGTCCAAGGTGATCACAATGAGGTTGACTGACACGTCTATGGCCTCACGGTTGCCTTTTTATTTTTCTGATAAGAACATTTAAGAGTCACTCTTAGGAACTCTCAAGTATATGATACAGTATTGCTAGCTAAAATCACCGTGCTGTGCGTTAGATCCCCAAACTTCTTTTCCTTATAACTCGAAGTCTGTTCTGTGACAAACCTCTCCCAGTCTGCCCCACCCTCCCCTGCCAGCCCCTGGAAATCACGTCTTTTAATGATCGGTTTGACTAAACTGACCAGTTAAGTCTATTTAAACAGTCAATTACCGATTTCTAATTTTGTCCCTGGAATGAAACAATTATTTGTAAAAAAAAAAAAAAAAAAAAAAAAAAAAGATTGATTAATGGTTTGGGCCATAAAACTTTTTTTTAAAAGATTTTATTTATCTATTGATTGATTGATTGATTGATTGATGAGAGACACAAAGAGGCAGAGACACAGGCAGAGGGGGAAGCAGGCTTCATGCGGGGAGCCCAACGTGGGACTAGATCCTGGAACCTGAGGTGATGACCTGAGCCTAAGGCAGATGCTCAACCCTGAGCCCCCCAGGTGTCTTGAGCCATAAAATTTTTTCAAAGGATATGATGTACCTATAGGTATATATTCATCCACTTTAAGGTAATTTGATCTTTCCTTTGGATATTTTTCCCCAAATTTGTGCTCAACCATAGTCTGTGCATTCCTAAATACCCAACACCTGGCTCTCCAATGAGATGAATCTATTCTCACCACTTCTTCTACTAACTCCCTAGAATTTACTGCATTTTAATTTAAAATCAGAACCTTGTGCTTTCTTATTTGCTACCTATTCTTAAAATTGGGAATTTCACTGAGTCATATATAGTACATGTTGCTTATAGCACATTGCTGGGCTAAGTAGCTAGTCTTTGGGTCCATTTATTATCCTTCTAGTTACGTTTTATGCCTGTTGACTGTGGTATATCGAATCTATGTAGTGAGACTTCTTTTAAAAAATATTCTCATCCACTGGCGATGTCACTTTTGTTAAATAATTTATTTAAAAAATGAGATTTTTGTCTGAATGACCTAGCTCCATACACAATAAATATGATAAAACTTTTATTTTGTTTTTACAAATGCAGAACATACATGAATTAAGAAGATTCTTTTATCCATTGTGTTTGTCGTATTTGTTGCTTTATATTAGAAAAACTGAAGAGAGGAATAAATCAAGAATCACCCTGGAGGAGAGGGTGCAGGGGAGGGAGAGGTTCCTAGTTTCCCAGGGCAGAATTTTTTCCAACCATATGCAGGAGCAAGGAAGTGATTTGGGAAATGGGAACACGGCGAGTCTCGATAGTTGACTTCTGTGAGGAGCAAAGAGCAGAGGCAAAGACATTATGACCAAGGGACATCTAGAGATTCTTAAGCAGGAGAGTAAAATAATCTGATTTGACCCCACAAATAACCCTGTATTCCAGTGTGAAGGATATAACCAGAAGTGATGCAGGTGGCAGAGATAGCTAATTTGGAAACTCAGTTGGAATTTAATGCACCCCTGAACTAGACAAATAGCATACACTTAATAAATACAGATTGCTTAGTTAACTGGATGTAACTTAACTCACTAATTTTTAAGATATATTTTAACGACACAGTAAGAGTAGTTAAATCTTCTGAAAGAGTCCGAGCCTGTTGTTTCAGGTGTTTTTGAGCATATATGCCTTTTAAAGCAATGCTATTTTTAATACACATGTTCCTAATTTTTCACATCTTAGAGCTAATTGGAAATTTTGAAAAATTGGATGCTTTCCTGTGTGACGTGAAAATAATGAGCATATGGTAAAATTATTTTATTTTTATTGCTCTGAAAACTGGCAATAGTAGAAATAGTATCACTTGTCGAAGGCAAAATAAATTCTAGTGCCTGTCATTTCTATTTAAATTCCTACCACAAGGTAATCAAAATATAATCTTTGCTTCTAGTCATTTGTGAACTCGGGTTTTGACAGAGGAATACAAAATACTCCCTTTTTAAAAGACAGAATAAACTGCCCCATGAACCCATTAAGCAGAAGAGCATGAGTGATTTGTAGACTTAAAGTTGGTTCTAGAATCTAGCCTGAGTAGATAATGAATAGATTTCTTTAACTGACACAAAAAAAATTTAAATTATTATCTGGAAATGAATACAAACTGAAAAAAAATTCACATCTCTTCTGCTCAGGAAGTTGATAAAATTATTTGCAACATCTCATATCAATAGGTACATCAGTAAGGACCTCATATTTCATTTATTCACAGCTAATCCAGAGCCGGCATCCATAAGGCCGTATCTTTCTAAAGTCAACATTCACAGGCTCTCCACATTTTAATCCTTCTTCTCGTGTGGCTTTTGAGTTACATTCAAAATCTGAAAGTCTTGACTTTTGGACTTTTGGACTCTGAAATACTAGCCGTGCAGTTTGACAATTTAGTGACTGGAAGCTTGATAGAGTCCGGGTTTCCATGGATGGTTGAACATCATCGAAATACCTTGGTTTTGGTTTAGTTGAGGTGACTAGATCTCCAGTTAGTCTAGGAATTTTAGAGCCATGAAAGGAAAATCTGCAGAAATCTTGGGATTTCCTTTCCATAAGGAGAGCCAGGCAGGTATTCTCCTTTAGGGCATTGGTTCTTGGGGCTCCACTGCCTCAGTCCCAAATGCCCTAAACTCTCCGGAAGGTCTTCGGCCACCTGATCTCTGACTTATATCTGATAAGAGTCGTTCTGATGGGATTTCAGTGGCTTTGAACACAACACGGAAAGATGCGTTAACAGACACATTGTCCCCCTCTTACCCTTCCACGACTAATCCGCCCTTCAGTCCAGTCCCGTCAGCCCTGTCCCCACAATAGCTTTCAGGTGATTCCCCTTTTTAAAGTTTCTGTTATTACTACGTTAGCCTTTACCACTTTTCTTTTGGGTTTATTTCAACAGGCTGCTAAGTAGGCCCAATTTTCCAGAGTGATCCTTCTGAAAGATCAAACACATCTTTTGTCTTCCCATGCTTAAAATTGTTAGTGCGCAAAGCAATGCTTCTCATGTTAGTTTTCTACTGTGGTGCACAGAATAGATGATTTTCACATGAAAGAAACAGCCCTGAGAACATTTAGGGTTATGAGCACGTACCAGTATGCTAGCCTTAATCACATTTTATTTTCGCCTGCTCAGCAGAGTAGGTCGTAATGCTGAATGAGAATCTCATAATATAGGGCAAAACATGAGTTGTAAGGAATAGAAGGATACATCCATCCTCTGGCTTATTAGTATGAACGGCAATATCTATTTTCAGGGCATATTGCTGCTCATTCCTATGACTGAGAATAGATGACTTGTGGGATTCAATTCAAATATTTTAACAGAATAAACAATGCTCTTCATGGCTCGTCCTTCATTATCTGAGTTCATGTTCATTTTCTCTCTCCTAAACCTCTCAACTCCCACACCATACGCACATAGCTGCCCACTCCAGCGTAGGGGGCCATCTGTATCGCTGTTTGTTCCGTTCCGTATGTGTGGACTATTCCCCCTTCCTCCCACAACACACACACA